TTGCTGCCTCCTGCCCTGGGTGGACTCTCATGGAGTGTAAGATGCTATGTGCAGTGTGAGAACCATGCATACAACCGAATTTGCTACCAAACTCATAATCCTCTTCCTCATCTCATTCCATGAACTAGAAAGACATCTCTGAGCTTTGGAATTCTGACTAGGACTTGATTAGGAAAAGTACCTGGATTTTGGTCCTGGATTTATTCAACAAACATGTATCGACCACCTACTATGTGCCAGGTCATCGTTTAGGTGACTGGGACACAGACAAAGATCCCTACCTACCCTTGTGGAGGTGAGGGACACACGTGGCAGAGATGGATACAATTACATAAAAATAAGTGGAATAGATAACCCCAGTGCTGTAGAGAAAAGGAAAGGAAGGTATGAGAGAGATTGGGGTGCCAGAGGAGGGGCAGAATGCAGTTGACAGGGAGAATTCATTAAGAAAGTGGGAAATGACCCCAGATTTGAAGAAGGGGAGGAGATTAGCAGAGAGAAACTTCCCCTCATCAGCCATGCCACCTGGAACAAGCAACATAAAAGCTGTGGGTCTTGATTTCCTCATTGGTATGGTGGGATATTGATTTAGATGATCTACACTAGTTCTTTTAAGTTCTTAAATCCCATAAATGATGATTTAACTTATGCCAACGTTACAGAATGGAAGCAGTCATACAATGTTCATCCAGCCCTTACCATGTGTCACTAAATGCTGTGAATGCCACAGGATTTCAGAAGTCCTCATTATGATAGTACTCATTACACTCATTCATTTTTCGACAAACATGTTAAGCACCTACTGTATGCCAAGCACTACTATACAGTTGGGGTGTTCCAAAGCGCACAGTGTGATGAGGCAAGGGAGGTGTGTTAGCATAAAGGGACACATGTTACACTGGAACAGAGGGGTTTTTTGGGACACACACTGGTTGGAGGGGCTAACCACACTGAGTGGGAGTGTCCACTTCCCGCGGGGCTTCCAGATATACATTATTTTTTCCTCTTATTATTCTTTCAAAAAATTTAAAGTAGCTTATATGTGTTCACCTTAAATATTAAGTTTGGAAAGCGTCAGTTTCCACAAGGAAAGTAAAAATGATCAGATGAGGGGAAATCTTAAATTGTGAAATTAAAGAGGACAAAGAAGGCAACTTAGAGAATATTTACTTCCTTAGAACTAAGGTAATGATATGGTTCTGTTAACAAATGAATTTGACAAGTTGACATCTTTTCACCAGTATTTGGTCTCCCTTTTATGTTTAGAAGTCATTTTTTTGTTGCTGTATTATTTTCATTAATATTTTCCCCATGTTTTTATTTAAATTCTAGTTAGTTAAAATATGGTGCAATGTTAGTTTCAGATGTGGAATTTAGTGAACACTTGCACACAGCACCCAGCTCTCATCACAAGGGCCCTCCTTAATCCCCATCACCCATTTAACCCATCCCCCCCAAGCCCATAAAAGTCAGTTTTCCATGATGGTTAGGAAGTAATAAGCATGACAACAACAACTATTATCTACCAGGAGCTTATTGTTTGCCAGGCTCAGTACTAGGCACTTTTCTATGTATTATCTAATTTAATTCTCACAATGCTCTGTGGAATCTGTGATCATGCCCAGTTTTCTAGATGTGGTAACTGAGACTTGAGGAGATGAAGTTAGTTGTCCAAGGTCTAAAACCAGTAAGTGGCAGTAAGGCTAACAACCTTGAACTTGCCATCAGAACCCCTTTTCTTGAACACCAGAGGCAGGAAGTGCTGGCTCTCCAATCTGGGTAAGGTCAAGCACTTCAATATTCAGTGTAACTGTAACTACTTTGCTTTTCACATTGGTTAATGGGCAAGTGGTCATAACATTTCTCTGTTGTCTTAAGACTTGTATTTTGAAAAGTATATTCATCATCTCTGAATTTCTATTGGAAATTGAAAGTCTACACAAAGTGTTTTTGGACCCGATCCAAATATTTAAAAAATTGTGCTTTTGTGTGATTTGGCACTCCATACAAAATTCTTCCTAATGATCTCAAGTTTCAAAGGATTTAGAAGTTGTTTGACGAGGCACCTTATGAAATGAGGAGTCTAATCCATTAGTTGAGAGTGTTACGGAGAAGACATTAGCGAAAGCTATCTCTTCCTGTAGAAGTAATTGAGGAAATTACCCTTCCCTACACTGAGGACAGTGTATGGTATACAAGTGAATATACTGACTACGCATTTTCAACAGACTTCATGGACAAGTGGAATTTGCTTTCTCGTGTAACCAAATTGATTGAACAACAACAACAAAAAAAATAAAGGGAATGAATTAGTACTCATGCAATTTTATTTAAACCTGTGTTTTTCCCCATGGGAAGATGGGAGGGTTCTCATCACAAGAAAATGCTTTTCACTAGAAACACTTTGCACAGGGACCCCCACTTGCTGTTTTTTCCCCCCTCTAACCTGACCTTTTTATTTTTATTTTTTAACCCAGATTAAGATTCTTGTGCCTCTATCTCTGTGAAAGCTCCCACAACAAAACTGGGAGGAAGCCCTCAGAAAAATAATTAGGTAACTCTTACGCATGTGACTCAAGAATGTCTTAAAGTGTTGAACATCTTTATCATGGCAGCCAAGGAGAATTCGAGGATGATGGGCATTATTCCTCTGGTATTATTTAGGCCTGGAGAACTTATAGTACAAAAATAGAAATTTAAACAGGAGCTAGAAAAATTGTTTTTGTAGTAACATGAATTTTGAACAATTTCTTATCACTGAGAGAAGCTCATACTGCTTATCAGTCCAATTCAGGAATTTGAGATTTAGATTACTAATTTAATCTTCTGACTGTAAAATTCATATAAAAATTTAGGAGGATTTCAGCTCCCTTAAATTCCTTCTGGGCCAAGTTTGATAAATAACAGTTTTAAATGTGAGAAAATAATATAGTATTTCAGTACGTAGTAAAGGTCATCCGCTTCAGTGATTATTTACTGTGCTCTATGGTTCACTTTTGCATTGTAAAAGACAACTGAAAGTATGGCAGACCACTTGGGCGTATTTTTCTGAAGGACTGAAGAATATGAAAGTTCAATCTGAATGCAATCATGAAGGAGAAAGAAAACTTTTTATTGAATAAAAAAAACGATGATGGGTATTTAGAGCAATTTTAAAATAAATTCCGACTCATGGACGTAGCATCATGATCTTGTCCCAAATCACATTTCAGTATCAACTTCCACAAGCAGGGTATAGGCCTTGTAGTTTTATTACTTGAAAGCCGGGAGTAACTTTCTAAGCATATGAATTTACAATTAAAATGAAGTGGACTATTAAGTCACTTAAAAAAATTGTGTAGTATATGCAAATGATCTGGATAATTATGATCACTTGTGTCAGAAATGCCTTTGCACTAAATTTCAGCAGAGTATATGGGGCTGGAAAGGCTGGAGCAACAGAACTTTTCCTCACTGAGAACACTTGAGTCTGACTTACAGACTGCCCAGGAGTATTTTAAAAATGGTATTTTCATACTCTGGGTGCAACGTAGACTAAATGTTTTATACATGGTTAATAATGTAACAGGAATTTAATAATTACTTGAAACCACAGCCAAAATTTATTTTACAGAGGATTTAAAACTGCTATTGTTAATGAGTAGGTATTACTATTTTGGCTGAATTGAATTCTGCGATTAGATGTTAAAGGATGTTATCCCTCCTCAAGAAATCTTTTTGTGTAAATACCGTAAAGCCTTTGGGAGACCGCTTGGATTCTACTATACACATTAAAAGAGATAGCTGAGTCAGCAGCTTGCATAGTAAAATTTATGATTATATAATTCCTTTTCACGGTCCGACATTGGAAAACATAAAGCTGTGGGAAGCAAAGAGAACTGTAAGAGAGATGTCTAAAATAGCTAGACAGTGTCAAATTCAGAATTCTATTTGTGTAGTCATAATGTAGGCAGGAAAATACTTCTAGCAAGACTCACACTATCATTTGACCTTCACAAATCATACTTTCCAACAGTGGATGGCAGTTTTCTGAGAGTACACTTTTGACCTTGAAGATATAACTTAATGTTTTATGTCTCTTGGCAAACTTAGAATGCCTCTTGTCCCCAAACTGAGTTCATCTAAAATTAATATCATCATATGTTTAAGCTGTTATGGTCTATAATTCTTATTTGAATTATTCAGCATCCAAGGGCAAAGAGAGACGCGACAAAACTCTCTTTTTCTTATTGCATAAGTCTCTCAGTTTTCTTAATGCAGGATGTCCCTCATCTGAAGCTGGGACTGAGGAGACAGCTGCATTTTACTGCAGCCTCAAATCTTGCTACAGCTCTCAGGCTTAGCATTCAGCTGAGCTGAAAAGAAATAAACAATGGATCGTGGATCACCACATCAAAAACTAATGATGTATTGTATGGTGACTAACATAACATAACAAAATTTAAAAAAAAGAAAAAGAAAAAGAAAAAGAAAAAAAAAACCCAAAAAACAACAAAAAAAGAAATATGCAGGAGCAATATACTGGATCGGAAACTAAAGCTTTAGCAGAGGAGAGTGTCAGAAAGTGAGTTAATCTCTCTTGAACCTTAGCTTGTCTGACTTTCGTTTTCACATTGTTTTTCTTAATGATCACTCTCACAGAATAACCTTACATCCTAAGTTTCACTTCCTCTGTCTCCCCCCTCTCGCTTACATTTAAATAAATTGATGCCCTGCATTCTACTTAGAAGACAGCAACTGTACTACAAAGCCTTGAACAATGGCATCAACCCGCCTGCAGCTGGACATTCATAAGCCATTCCACTTTAATCATCCTCAATTCTCAACCCTACTGTAATGCAATAGCAGTCAAAAGCTGGAGAGCATGTTCACCAATTAACAGAAAGGAAAAGAAAAAGTCAATGCAGCAGAACTAAAATTCAGAAGCACCAACCAAACATCCGAACTCCAAGTGACTTGAAATTAATTTGACTTTCATAAGAGAACCTGTGTTTTCTTACCTTGGATGTGAATAACTCTGTCATGATCTAGAGTATAGTTGTCTGAATGATCATCAGCCCAGCAGATTGAAATCAGCACCAGAAGAAGTAGACTCTTCATCTTTATAACCCAGGGAGTCTTCTTCACTGTGAGAGCATCACATACAAAGAGGCTTGTGAGATTTGGAACCCTTTGGAGTATTGCACTGCACTACCTATTACCGCCTTATCATCATAGAATGTGTCTGTAAAAATATTTAACCCAATCTGTTCAGAAAGTTACTGTAGCTGTCTTTGGGAGCTGAAGACTGCAGCTTTGAAAAATTCCAGTTTCCCTTATGTAGCCAGAGTCCAAACAGTGTTTAACTCTATATCTGCAGAATTGTAAATCTAGAAATTTAAATCAGTATTGTTTTGATATAAAGAGTTATAGTTGGTTACAAAAAGCTATGGCAATGATATAGAAAGACTTTATAAAAAATATTTAAATCTCTGAATTTGAAGTATTACTTGACAGAACAACCGTTTGATGTATCTATAGGGGAGTGATCCCCAGTCGAATTAGAATCTTCAATCGGGGCAAATAAAGAATACGTGCTTGAAAGTTGACATCATCATTCATTTTACATGTAGCTTCCTGAGCAGGTTAGATTTGCTTGTTCTGAATAAAAAAAGAAGACCAAAAAAAAAAAAAAAATCCCTGGTGAAGCAAAAGCAACACATTTATTACAGATTCACTTACCATCTTAAACCTTGCTTGGGTCCATGGTGAAGAGTTGAAAATGAGGGACAAACTAGGTTCGGGTTGTGCATGCTACCACTGCAGTCATCCTGATTGATTTTTCATTCATTTCTACCTGAAATGCTGACGCACCAACTCCGAGCGCCAGGTAGGGTCTCTGCAGAGGGCCGAGGCACGGCCGGCTGCAGGCAACGTCCCTGCCAGCCTCCTGGGGCAATGAGGCGGATGGAGAGCAGAACCGGACAGCAAAGCGCAGCTCTGGTCGTAAGTGAAAGAGGCAGGGCCATCGCTGGGTTGTCCTTTATTGCAAGACCAATTTGAGGAAAAGGGACATGGTCCCCCCAAACTTTGTCATCTGAAGGACTAAAAAGTGACTCCAAGGGATACAAGCCTCATGACCTTGGCCGTATTTGCCAGGCAAGAATTTCAGGGTCGCTCCTCCGTTTTAATGTGAAAGCTGAGGCAAATATTAACAAGGGCTTTCTTTTTCTCTCGTTACATAGCAGCCCTAACAACACTTGGCTATTTTTAAAACTGAAATTGCACAGTACTGGCTTCTCACACTAATTTGTTTTTTCCAGGAAAGCTTGACTCCCTGGAATACTTATTAAAGAGCTTTGAGTCTGTTCCTGGAGGTCCTTGTAGGCCAGCCTCGACTCCGGAGCGTGATGATAACACGAGTCACGGGTGTCCCCTGTCTCTCCTGGGACAGAGCCACCTCCCTGCATTCTTCCCTCTAAAACTCAGCATCGCTGGGATGCCTACGGCTTCAGTCATTCGTGTTAGCTTTATTCCTTTTCTTTCTCTTCCTTATGTCACAGAAAGAAGATGATGGATGCACAAATTAAGAAACTTACTTTTCTAGGAAGCTCAGAGTGTCACCTTCAAAATTCTACCTGAGTTGCTAATCTTATTTTCTGAAGTTCACTTGCTTGTTCCTCTGAGGGTTTTTGGGAAATAATGATTTTTTTGAAGCTACAGATGTTTGTCCATAGAAATATTACTTACAAATATTATCAGTTTTCAGCCCAAAATTGCACTTTGGGTGAATAAACATAATAAAGGTGATCTCCTGGAATTTGGGATATCATTGGGGCAATTATATACACAAACATAAAACAATGAGCAAACCAGCACAAGAGGTATCGGGGGCTCTCTGCTTGCCACAGGAATCAAAGGAAAGGAAAATGTAGAAGAGAGTGTGAGGAAAGCATACAATTTCAGCAGTTAAAGGAGAAATTCGAAAAGTGAGGGATCAGAGGAACAGAGGCAGAGAAGTTGCTATATTAATTTTCCCATTTGTGTGGTCATTTACAGTATAATTTACACACACACACACACACACACACTTTTAGACTTGTGCATCATATCACTACAGTCATCCTGATTTTTATTCACTTTTCCTCAAAATATATTACACACAAATTTATATATCTCCTTTAATTCCATACCATAGTATTAAAAGTTATATCACCAAGAGTTCATCTCATTGAATTAACATACTAACTGTCCAAGGACTCGGTTTTTAATTGCAAACATCCCAAGTGGTGTGGGGGTGATAAATAATAATTCTGACAGCAATTCCTTTTTTTTTTTAAAAGATTTTATTTATTTATTTGACAGAGAGAGACATAGCGAGAGAGGGAACACAAGCAGGGGGAGTGGGAAAGGAAGGAGCAGGCTTCCGGTTGAGCAGGGAGCCCGATGCGGGGCTCGATCCCAGGACCCTGGGATCATGACCTGAGCCGAAGGCAGACGCTTAACGACTGAGCCACCCAGATGCCCCTAACAGCAATTCCTTTTAACTGAAAGTCTATTTGCCAAGTGCTATGCTAAGCATGGTACCGACAATGGTTCATGGAATGCTTGAGCTCATGAGACCAAAACTTCCGTATTTGCTGATTCAGACAGTTACCTTGCTGAAGGTCCCATATCTAGTAAGGAGTAAAGTTTGTATTTGCTTTCAAGCCAAAGCAACACCTACTATAAAAAGTTGCACTTACTTTTGTGAAAGTGAAGCTTAATGTGTTGTTTAATTGCCTTGTTTATTCAGGCTCTTTAACTTGAACCTACTATGGTCTTAAATCCTTAACTTGTGTTATATGTGAATATACACTTTTTGCCCCAAGACTTACATGGGAGAAGTTAGATGGTATTTTCTTTAACATGACTGTGCTCTGCCTCATTTCTATTCATTTATAATACCATCGGGTGTCATGAACACTTCCTTGGTGGCTCACATGCGTACACACACACACACACACACCCCATCATCATCTTCAATTTAAAAAGGATGTTGCACATCTTCAGTGATTTGTGATTAGAAGAGAGGCGCATGTCAGTGAGCGCTTCTGAGTGCCCACCAGGCATTCAGACACTCCTGGTAGGAGAGGGTGGGAGTTATCTTTGCTACCCCAGCAGCGTAACGACTGTCTTACCAAAAGAGGTGAAACTAGACAAACACACACTAGGGACACGATCTTCAGTGTTCAAGCAAACAGCAGTACAACATGAGGTACTGCACACCGGATGGAGGTCCTTGAGGACAAGGGCTGTGCCCGTTGTCTGAGCTGAGCGCTGGGCCTCAATGAGGGATGCCTCAGGCATAGCGGGTGGTCTTGCGAGTGAATGAAAGGACTCCTGTTTGTTTGCACTTTGTAACAATGTTTTCTCCGGGTATCCAGCTACGTTAGGTAAAAATTTTTCATTTTTGATATGAGTAGAACTTGGGAAATTTGGGGGACTTTTATACAACCTGTTATTACCAGCCTTGAACTAGCGCTCAGTTTAGCTGCAACTCACACATCAATGGTCTCTTTTTACAGCCTCCCAAACCTTGCCGCCCGATGCCACAACGAGTTTCAAGAGGAGTTCACGTGGAAATATCTGTGTTCTTGGTCAAAGACCTATGATAGGACTGTAATATTACAGTTCTGCTTGGGTGATAACTAAACCACTATTCAGAAGCAAGATACTGTGGCCAACATAAAAGTCTAATAGTTTGATAGAAATAAAGATAAACTAATACCAACAGTCTAATACCAAAGTGGCCAATTGCTAGTCCTTAAACTACTGTGTTAAAATTAGTGTTAGTGGGGCGCCTGGGTGGCTCAGTCGTTACACATCTCCCTTCGGCTCAGGTCATGATCCCAGGGTCCTGGGATCGAGCCCCGCATCGGGCTCCCTGCTCAGCGGGAAGCCTGCTTCTCCCTCTCCCGCTCCCCCTGCTTGTGTTCCCGCTCTAGCTGTCTCTCTGTGTCAAATAAATAAATAAAAACCTTTAAAAAAATTAGTGTTAGGATGGTAGCTACACTTGTGAACACAAGGTAACGTATAGACTTGTCAAATCACAATATTGTACCCCTTAAACTAATGTAACATTGCCTGTCAACTATACTTCAATTAAAAAATAAAATAATAAAATTACTGTATTAGGTAGTGGGGAACTAAGCCAGTCGGAAGGCATGCATGCTGTTTGCTGTGCCACGAGAGCTAGGCCACATATTTCCTGAGCAACTGCTATATGCTAGCCACTGCCCTGGGAACCTCACCCATTTAATCACTATTTCTCAAAACAACCCAATTGAAGAAGGATGTTATTTTTTTTAAAGATTTTATTTATTTATTTATTTATTTGAGAGAGGGGGAGGGAGGGAGGGAGGGAGAGCACAAGCAGGGTGAGGGGCAGAGGGAGAAGCAGACTCCCCACTGAGCAGGGAACCAGATGTGGGACTCAATCCCGGGACCCCGGCATCATGACTTGAGCTGAAGGCAGACGCCCAACTGACTGAGCCACCCAGGCGCCCCAAAGAAGTATGTTATTATACACATTTTGTAATTCCTGCAATAGAGTCAGTGTGGTGGAGTCCCAAGCATGCAGAGCGAGGTCCTGGGGATCTGGGCACTCTGACCCCAGAACTTGCACTCTCCAGCACCATCCATGGGGTCCTGTGTGCCCTGAGGAACACTTTCAGCTGTCCTAGCTGGTTCTCTCAGATCTCTTACAGTTCACACAAGTCAGAATGCTGTCCCTCATCCCTCTCTCACTGGGTTATAGGAGTAGCACTTATCACAGCCCTCTTTGCACAAGGCATGTTTGAGTGCAAAGTCTCAATGCTCTCCTCACTGTGTGCCCAAGACCCAGGACCTCCGTGTGCCAAGAGAAAGAATGAATGGAAAACTGGACCTGGGAGAAACAGCTATAAGGACTAAAGCAGCCAAGACTGAGGAGAGTTTAACACTATTTCAAGAGTTACCTGTATTATTATATGGAGGATGGTGAGAGTTACTTTTTTCCTCCACTGAGGACATAATGAACTAAACCAGGTTTCAATTTAGCACTTGAAATGTAGTTTAAAAATTATAAGAATCAATGCAAAGGTTGCTAAAGATTGAATAAGAATCT